CAAACACGTGATCATTAGCCATTAGAGAAATGCAGATCAAAACTACAATGAGATATCATATCACCCCAATAAGGCTAGCATTAATCCAAAAAACACAAAATAATAAATGCTGGAGAGGTTGTGGAGAGATTGGGACACTTATACACTGTTGGTGGGAATGTTAAATGGCAAAACCACTTTGGAAATCGATTTGGTGCTTCCTTAAAAAGCTAGAAACAGAAGTACCATACGATCCAACTATCCTGCTCCTTGGAATACATCTTAGAGAAATAAGAGCCGTCACACGAACAGATATATGCACACCCATGTTCACTGCAGCACTGTTCACAACAGCAAAAAGATGGAAACAACCTAGGTGCCCATCAACAGATGAATGGATAAACAAATTATGGTATATTCACACAATGGAGTACTATGCAATGATAAAGAACAACAGTGAAACTGTGAAACATCTTAGAACATGAAGGAATCTGGAGACCATTAGGCTGAGTGAATTCAGTCAGTCACAGTAAGGACAAATATTGTTTAAAACCACTATTATAAGAACTCAAGAAAAGGTTTAAACACAGAAGAAAACATTCTTTGATGGTTACGAGTGTGGGGAGGGAGGGAGAAGGTTATTCACTAACTAGACAGTAGACAAGAATTATCTCAGATGAAGGGAAGGGCAGCACACACTACAGGGGATGTCAGCACAAATGACTTAAGGAAAGCTAAGAAGTTTCCTGAATACAATCAAACACTCTGAGAGACAGCGTAACAGGGGCGGGGGTCTGGGGACTATGCTTTCCAGGGACATCTAGGTCAACTGGCATAACAAAGCTTATTAAGAAAATGTTCTGTATTTTACTTTGGTGAGTGGCGTCTGAGGTCTTAAAAGCTTGCAAGCGGCCATCTAAGATGCATCAATTGGTCCCAACCACCTGGAGTAAAGGGGAATGAAGAACACCAAAGACACAAGGAAAGTAGCAGCCCAAGAGACAGAAAGGGCCACATAAACCAGAGAGCTCATCAGCCTGAGACCAGAAGAACTAGATGCTGCCTGGCTACCACCAATGACCTCCCAGACACAAAACACAACAGAGAGTCCCAGATGAAGCAGGAGAAAGGTGTGGTGCAGAACTCAAATTCTAGTAAGAAGACTAGACTTAATGGTCTGACTGAGACTGGAGGAACCCCGGAAAGCGTGGCCCCTGGATTCTCTATCAGCCCAGAACTAAAACACTTTCCGAGGCCAACTCTTCAGACAGGGATTGGACTGCACTGTGGGACATAAAGTGATACTCGTGAGGAGTGTGCCTCTTAGCTCAAGCAGATACAAAAGACTAAATGGGCAGCTTCTGTCTGGAGATGAGATGGGAAGGCAGACAGGGTTAGGAGCTGGTTGAATGGACGTGGGGAATCGGGTGGAAAGGAGGAGAGCAATTAGTATGGGAGAGTAATTAGTATGGGGAGAGCAATTAGAGTCACATAACAATGCATGCATAATTTTTGTATGGGAAAGAACAAAATTAATTAATTAATTTTTAAAAAGGGAAAGATTAGTCCCAAGGACTAATGGACCACAACTACCACAGCCTCACCAGACTGAGTCTGGCACAACTAGATGGTGCCTGGCTACCACCACCACCTGCTCTGACAAGGATCACAACAGATGGTCCTGGACACAGCTGGAGAAAAATGTAGAACAAAATTCTAACTCACAAAAAAAGACCTTACTCGTCTGACAGAGACTGGAGAAACCCCTAGAGTATAGCCCCCAGGCACTCTTTTAACTCAGTACTGAGGTCACTCCTGAGGTTCCCCCTTCAGCCAAAAATTTAGACAGGCCCATAAAACAAACAATATCACATATAGTTCAACGATGTATATGAGACTAAATGGGAACACCAGCTCAGGGGTAAGGACAAGAAGACAGGAGGGGATAGGAAAGCTGGACCAATGGAAATGGGGAACCCAAGGTCAAGAAGGGGAGAGTGTTGACATGTCGCAGGTTTGGCAATCAATGTCACAAAACATTATGTGTATTGTTTAATGAGAAACTAATTTGCTTTGTAAACCTTCACCTAGAGCACACACAAAAATTCTTTCGACAATTCCATTTATAGAAGCATCCAAGAGAATAAAATACAGTAGGTCCTCCATATCTGCAGGTTCCACTTCATGGATTCAACCAACCATGGATCGAAAATATTCCAGGGTGAGCGGGAGAAAAACGAAAGTTCCCACAAGCAAACTTTAATTTGCTGCATGCCGAGCACAACATCGAATCCATGCAAATGAAGTGATGTGTAGGCAAACCCTGCTGTAGCCTCCTGACATTTCACAGACCCTCAGTCCCTCTCTCTAGCACTCAGTTTTAGCACTGCTCGCCTCGTCTCGTTTGTTCACTACTTGTGTTGTGTGGACCCTTTGTTTCTGTGAAAAAATGGCTCCCAAAAAGCAATTAAGTGGTCAAAGCAATCCCTCAAAGGTTAAGTGTGAGAGAGTTGAGGAAAGCAAGAGGAAGGAGTTTAGCAAAAGATAGCTGGCTAGCTGTGTAAAGTGCCACAGCCTCAAGAACTTAAAAAATCACGGGAGAACTGGCATCATCGGATGCCTAGACAGCATCAGCGCTCCCGAAAGAGCTCAAGAAACTTATAGAAGAAAAAGGCTACCTTCCAGATCAAGTCTTCAATTGTGATGAAACAACTATTTTCATAGCACTTACATTGTATTAGGTATTATAGGTAATCTACAGATTATCTGCAGTATACAAGAGGATATGAGTAGGTTGTATGCAAATACTATGCCATTTTATATACGGGACTTGAGCATCCGTGGATTTTGGTATCCATGGGGGGTGGGGGAGAAGGTCCTGGAACCAATTCCCGGTGGATACCCAGGGGTGACTGTACCTAAAAATAAATTTAACTAGGGATGTGGAAGACTTACACAATGAAAATTATAAAACACCACTGAAAGAGATTAAAGAAGGTCTAAATAAATGGGAAGACATTCCATGCTCATGGTCTGGAAGACTTAACATTGTTAAGATGTCAATACTACCTGAAGTATTCTACAGATTCAAAGTAATCCTGATAAATTCCATCAGGCTTCTTTGCAGAAATGGAAAAACCAATCCTCAAATTTATATGGATTTCAAGGGGTCCCAAATAGCCAAAGGAATCTTGAAGAAGAACAAAGCAGGAGGAATTCACTTCCCTATTTCAAAGCATACTATAAAGCTACAGTAATCAAAACAGTCTGATACTTACATAACAACAGACACATAGACAAATGGAATAGAATTGAGAGGCCAGAAATAAGCCCATACATCTACAGTCAACTAATTTTTTAACAAGGGTGCTAAGTCCATGCAAAGAGGGAAAATAGCCTCTTTAATAAATGGTGCTGGGACAACTGGGTATCTATCTAAATGCTGGATTCATATCTCACACCATACATTAAAATTAACTCAAAATGGATCATAAGAACTTAAATGTAGAATTAAAACCATAAAAGTCCTAGAAGAAAATACAGAGGTATGGTTTTGGGATCTGATTTTTAACAACAGATTCTTAGATATAACAGAGAAGGCACTAGCAACAAAGGACAAAATAGATAAGCTGGACTTCATCAAAATCAAAAAGTTCTGTTCAACGAAAGATTTTAACAACAAAGTGAAGAGACAACAAACATACTGGGAGAAAATTTCTGGGAACCATATACTGGATAAGGGCTAAATATCCAGAATATATAAAGAATTTCAAAAGACATTTCACCAAAGAAGATACAGAAATGCTCAACAAACACATGAAAAGATGTTCAACATCATTAGCCATGAGGAAGATGCAAATCAAAACCACAGTGAGATACCACTTCACCCACTAGTATGGCTAAGATTAAAACAGAAAAAAAAAACTGAAAACAACAAACATCAACAAGGATGTGGAAAAATTGGAGCTTTTATCTACTGCTGGTAGGAATGCAAAATGGTACAGCCACTGTGGACAACAGTTTGGCAGTTTCTCAAAAAGTTAAACGTAGAGCTACCGTATGATCCAGCAATTCTACTCCTAAGTGTATACATACCAAAGAGACTTGAAAACAGTCATACAAACAGGCACATGTACACCAATGTTCACTGCAGCACTACTCCCAATAAACAGAAGGTGGAAACAACCTAAATATGCATCAACAGATGAACGGATAAACAAAATGTGGTATATAAATGCAATGGAATATTACTCAGCCATAAAGCAAAATGAAGTCTTAATACATGCTACAACATGGATTAATCTTGAAAACATTATGCTGAGTGAAATATGTCAGTCACGAAAGGACAAATATTCTATGATCTCACACACATGAAATAGCCAGAATAGGCAAATATATAGAGACCAAAGTTTATTACTGGTTACCAGGGGTAGAAGAGGAGGGGTAGGAGAGTCAATGTTTAGGAAGCACTGAGTTTCTATTTATGGGGATGGAATATTCAGCAGCAGATATTGGTGATGCTGGCACAACATGATTAATGTAATTGGTGTCACTAAATTGTATATGTGTAAAACACTGAATTAGCAAATGTGTTGTATATATTTTTACAACAATAAAAAATACTTTCAAACACTTGTTAAAATGCATCTGGATTCTATAAATGTATTTTCAAACACGAAAATAAAGATCAACAGAAATTAATCTTATTTTTAGTATGTTTCTTCAAAGTTGAGATTATACATGAGAAATAACTTCTCAGTTTTGATCTTTATTGGTAGTTATATTACAAAACCTGTTATTTGTAATAGTTTAAAAAAAATTCTGCACCAGTAATAATACAGGGACAAATTATCCTGATAAAAGAAATCCAAATTAGAGCAACAAGGGAATATCATTTTAAAAGTAAATCACGACAGCAAAGGTGTAGCTTTAATATATTATTACGTTTTCATTCCTAATGCTTTATTGTTTCAGTAATAAAAAGGAATTATGAAAAATTCCACATGATTACCTAGTCATACCTTATATGTCTGATCACTGTCTTCTGGTTCCGGACTAGATGGCAATGACAGTTGAATGTCATGCAATGAACCACTTCCGTCATGCTGTCAGAAAGAAGTAAAACACAAGAGATTAATAACTGGAGACATTCAGTTCTACCTGAGTTCATCCAAACCAAATGCTAGCACTGAAAAGAACAAATGGAAAATAAGATTTTAGAACTCTCCATTTCTTCTCTATGCACTGGTTTAAAAAAAAAAAGATTATAAACCTAGAGATTTGAGAAGCTCAGTTTGTAAGATTTAAAAATACACAAAGCACGCTTTCTGAACATAGTGAAATTTCAGTAGAAATGATTAACAGGAAAATCATCTCCAAATACTTGGCAAATAAAAACACACATTTCTAAAAGATCCGCAAGAGTCCCCGGGTGGTGCAAAAGGTTAACGTGCTCTCGCTAACCTAAAAAGTTAGTCCACCCAGAGCCACCTCAGACGAAATGCCTGGTGATTTGCTTCAGAAAAATTAGCCACTGAAAATCCTATGGCCCACAGTTGTACCCTGACACACATGGGGTTGCCAGGAGTTGTAGTCGACTTGATGGCAACTGTTAATTGTTTGTTTGTTTTTTAAATGATCCATGGGTCATAGGTAAATTAGAAAATATTTTGACATATCAAAATTGGAATATGAAACTAAAGCAGTTCTTAGAGGGAAATTTATATTGTATTAGAAAAGAATAAAGGTGTCAAATCAATAATGGGCGCAAAATAAATCCAGAATAAACAGAAAGAAGAAAATAATAAAGAGAAGAATCCAATGAACTTGAAATCAAATGAAACTGAAAAATAAAATAAAAAATAGAGAGAAACGCATGAAACAAAAAACAGGTTCTTTGAAAACTGCTAACCTGTAGCAAAAATGAGAAAGAACAAATGATACAAAGAGAACAAATCAGGACACGTATCAGGACACAGAGGACACATATCAAGAATAAAAGCAGGGATATCAACAAAGACCCCTCAGACGTTAAAAGCAATAATAATAATTCTATGCACACAAATTTGACAACTTAGATGAAACAGACAAATTCCCTAGGAACCACTATCAAAACTCACCCAAGATGAAATAGGTAATCTGAGTAGACCTATAACTATTGAAGAAAATAAATTCATACTTTAAAAGCCCCACATAACAAACCAATATTTTTGAAAACTGAAAAAATTATTCTAAATAGAATTTATAGGATAGCTCAAAATAGCTAGGAGTTATTAATGTTTAACTTATTGCTAAACCTAAAAACCATAAAAAATACTTTTTTTTAAAAACAGTCTAGATTCGGAATGTGAAGGGGCAAAGCTATTATTTCCATCAAAGCATAAGAGCTTACAAATCACAAACATAATCTCCCACTGTATCAATTAAAATTATATCCCTTCCCAAAAAGTTTAACACTAACCAATGGTACCAAACCAAACCAAACCTATGGCCATCGAGTTGATTCCAACTCATAGCAAACGCATAGGACAGAGCAGAACTGCCCCATGGGGTTTCCAAGGAGTGCCTGGCAGATTCAAACTCTGACCTTTTGGTTAGCAGCCATGGCTCTTAACCACTACACCACCAGCGTTTCCAACCAATGGTAGTACCCTCTATTAAACCTTAACTAAGATGAAAAGTGTCCTGGCCAAAATTAGGAAACATTTTAAGAAAAGCTTCCTTAAGTATCAGAGGGGGGAAAAAGCCTCATAAAATGGACAAAAAGTATCCCCTTTTTAAAGAACACTGAAGAAATAGCCACATACGTGCAATGTTCCTGCTTCATAGCACGCGTAATAAGGAGCGAACATTTAGTGAACACTTACTATGTGCTGGATATTGCGCTAAGCATACTATATAAAGGAGCCCTGGTGCTACAGTGGTTAAAGTGCTCAGCTGCTAACCAAAAGGATGGTGGTTTGAACCCACCAGCCACTCCGGGGGATAAAGATGTAGCAGTCTGCTTCCGTAAATATTTACAGCCTTGGAAACCCTATGGGGCAGTTCTACTCCGTCCTATAGGGTCACTAAGAGTCGGAATCGACTCGATGGCAGTGGGTTTGATTTTGGGATACTGCATAAAAATATTTAATAAATACACAGATGCAGAAACAATACATAAAATTACATCACTGCACAAAAAATTAATTCAATAGCAGTTAACTGATATTCTGGGTTGCTTTACTGAGTAAGGTGTCTTCGTCATTTCTATGGGTTCTGGTTAGTTTTAAACTTATTAATGTTATTTGTATTCATGTTACTAAAAATTGAGAAAGGTGAATGAACCCTCCTCTATTCTGAGAGCATTAGAGGACTATTATCAGCAAACTATCTTCTACTTTTTTCTTCAAAGAGATAACAGATCAAGGAAGAGTTTCCTTCTTTTCTGACACAGCATCAAGGTAAGCTTTTGTTCTAATATTTTAACTTTGCCACATGAAAACTTGTTGGAGAATCCTATAACAAATTCAGTCTTACCCAGGTGGTTCTCCCATGAGTTTGCAAAAACTGGGATCTTCCTATGAGTTCCAGGGCAGCTGAAATGGACACGGCTACTCTGAGTGACTAACAAAAAGGGTTGGCTGCATTGAACCACCCTGCTAACAAGCATCATCAGTGATGTCAACAAAGCTGCCTTGTGTTTCAGATAAGCCACAACACAAACACAAGAGGAGTCCTAGCAAAGGAAGTAGAGGAAGAGGAAAGACTGTTTTTTTTCCTTTTAAAAAGGCATACACACTAGAGTTTCCAACCGGTTTGTTCTAGTTCAAACCAGTGCTGAGAACTTGCATTTCCAACCCAGATATACTGAACCAGAATCTACATTTTAACAAGATCCCCAAGTGATTTTTTAAATTGTACTTTAGGTGAAGGTTTACAGAACAAATAGTTTCTCATTAAACAATCAGTACACATATTGTTTTATGACATTGGTTAACAAGCCCATGACATGTCAACACTCCCTTCTCGACCTTGGAAAAGCTTTTTTGTTTTTTTGGTGAAAATATACATAGCCAAAGACAAAGCATTTCAGAAATTTCTACGTATACAGTTCAGTGACATCTATTACATTCTTCCAGTTGTGCTGCTATTCTCACTATCCTTTTCCAAATTATTCCATCACCATTATCTTCAACTCACTGGCCCCTAGGCTTCCCATCAAACCTTTTGAGTTGCTGTTGTCAATTTGATCTCACATAATTTTTTTATTTTTTGTACCTTAGATGAAGGTTTACAGAACAAATACTTTCTCAATAAAAAGTTAGTACACACATTGCCTTATGACAATGATTACGACCCCACCAAATGTCAACACTGACCCTTCTCAACCTTGGGTTCCCCAGGTTTCTTGTCCCCTCCTGCCTTCTAGTCCTTGTTCCTGGACTGCTGTGCCTCAGTCCCGTTTTTGCTTTTTTTGTTTTTTTTTTTTTTTAATGGGGCTGTCCAATTCCCCACTGAACAGTGAACCTCAGGAGTAACTTCACCTCTGAGCTGAAAGGGTGTCCAGGGGCCATACTCTCGGGGTTTCTCCAGTCTCTATCAGGCCAGTAAATCTGGTCTTTTTTTGTGAGTTAGAATTTTGTTCTACATGCTTCTCCTGTTCTGTCCAGGACCCTCTGTTGTGATCCCAGTCAGAGCACTCAGTGGTGGTACCCAGGCACCATCGAGCTGTACTAGACTCAGTCTGGTTGAGGCCGTAGTAGCTGTGGTCCATTAGTTCTTTGGACTAATCTTTTCCTTGTATCCTGTTCTCTTCATTCCCCCTTGCTCCCGCAGAGATGAGACCAGTGGAGTATCTTGTATCTTAGATGACTGCTCACAGGCTTTTATGACCCCAGACGCTACTCACTCAGGTAGAATGTAGAACATTATCTTTATAAACTATGTTATGCCAATTGAGCTAGATGTTCCCTGAGACCATGGTCTCCACAGCCCTCCATCCAGCAATTCAGTCCCTCAGGGAGTTTTGATGTGTCTATGGAGCTTCCATGACCCTTCCTTGTACAAGTTGTGCTGGCTTCTGCAGTATTGTGTACTGTCTTACCCTTCACCAAAGTTACCACTTATCTATTGTCTATTTATTTTTCTCCCCACCCCCACCCCCAATCCCTCGTAACCAACAAAGATCGTTTCTTTATGTGTGTAAACCTTTACATGAGTTTTTACAGTAGAGGTCTCATACAATTCTTTTGTGATTAACTTCATTCAGCATAATGTCCTCCAGTTTCATCCATGTTATGAGATGCTTCACAGATTCATCATTGTTCTTTACTGTTGCATACTACTCCACTGTGTGTATGTACCATAGTTTACCCATTCACCTGTTGATGGCCACCTAGGCTGTTTCCATCTTTTTGCTATTGTGAACACTGCTGTAATGAACATGGGTGTGCATATGTCTATTCGTGTGACGGCTCTTATTTCCCTAGGATATATTCCTAGGAGTGCGATTGCCGGATCATATTATTTCTAGCTTTCTAAGGAAGTACCATATTGTTTTCCAAAATGGTTGTATCATTTTGCATTCCCAGAAGCAGTGCATAAGAGTTCCAGTCTCCCCACAGCCTCTCCAACATTTGTTATTTCCAGTGTTTTTGATTTGTGCCAGTAATGCCAGGGTGAGAGGTTTTCTCACTGTGGTTTTAATTTGCATTTCTCTAATGGCTAGTGATCCTGAGCATTAACTCATGTGTCTGTTGGCTGCTTAAATGTCTTCTTTAGTGAAGTGTCTGTTCATTTCCTTTGCCCATTTTTTAACTGGATTGTCTTTTTGTTGTAGAGGTGCTGGATTTTCTCGTAGATTTTAGAGATTACACCTCTGTCTGACTTGTAATGCCCAAAAATTTTTACCCACTCTATAGGTTCTCTTTTTACTCCTTTGGTCAAGTCTTCTGATGAGCATAAGTGTTTAATTTTTAGAAGATCCCAGTAATCTAGCTTATTGTGTATGTTGTTGGTTATGGTTTGTAACTCTGTTAATGCCGTGCATCAGGGCCTCTAGTGTTGATCCTATTTTTTCTCCTATGAACTTTATAGTTTTTGGCTTTATATTTTGGTCTTTGAT